AAGTTGAACTTTCACCTTAACATTTACATATAAACACTATTTTACCCCGAGTTTTCTTTACCCTTACTCAATTTATTTTTCAAAATAATAATGATAAAAAAACTTTAAAAACCAATAAATAACTATTCTTTATAGAAATAAAACTTCAGACAATAAAAATTTATTTTTCATTTAAATTTATGAGGGATTAACCATCTTTGTCACCTGTAATCAGAACCAGACTTAAATCCCAATTAAACTGTCTAATTAATCAATATGGGCATTTTTCAAAAAGTCTAATTAAGCAATGTGGGCATTTTTCAAACTGGATCAGCTTCCGCTAAAAAAAAGTCAATCTGAAAAGATTTTTTTACATACTACCAAACAGGATTGCCAATATCTTTAACCTAATGATATTTACAAGTTTTAACAAGAGCCCGGTTTGAGCCGGGTGATGCTCCCCGAATAGGTTTTGGACACAGGAAAGTACACCTCTTGTAGTTTCAGAGTTATGTCCGTGGAAAAAGTTCAAAGTGCAATAATTCTAAAATTAGGCAAGGCAGAGTTACAGTTCTTTGCACTGCACTTCTAATCAATGTGATCTATCAACCTACAAAGTTTCTTGATGATATCTCTTATGATTTCTGAGTTATGTCCTGGACAATTCAAAAAGTAAAAATAAACAAAGGGCAATAACTCCAGAATTAGGCAAGGTAGAGTTATGATTCTTGTGCACTGCACATCTACCCATTGAGATTTATCTACCTACAAAGTTTCATGTTGATATCTCTTATAGTTTTACAGCTATGTCCTGGATAAGATTTTTCTAAAAGGGGAGATTATTCAAAAATAAGGCTTAACAGAGTTATGGTTCTTTTGCACTGCACCTCTACTCAATGAGATCTATCTACCTACAATGTTTCATGTTGATATCTCTTATAGTTTTAGAGTTATGCCCCGGACAAGATTTTTCTATAAGGGGAGATAATTAAAAAACCAGGCAAAATAGAGTTATGGTTCTTTGACACTGCACTCCCCCTCGATGCCCTCTACCACTGTATGAAGTTTCAACAAATTATCTCCAAGGGTTTTCAAGTTATGTTCCGGACAAAGTTCAAGTTCAAAGTATTAAAATAAACAAAGGGCAATAACTCCAAAATTAGGACAAAAAGAGTTATTGTTCTTATGCACTGCACATCTACGCATTGAGATCTATTCACCTACAAAGTTTCATGTTGATATCTCTTATAGTTTTAGAGTTATGCCCCGGACAAGATTTTTCTATAAGGGGAGATAATTCAAAAACCAGGCAAAATAGAGTTATGGTTCTTTAACACTGCACCCCCCCTCAATGCCCTCTACCACTGTATGAAGTTTCAACAAATTATCTCCAAGGGTTTTCAAGTTATGTTCCGGACAAAGTTCAAAGTATTAAAATTAACAAAGGGCAATAACTCCAAAATTAGGATGAAAAGAGTTATTGTTCTTATGCACTGCACATCTACCCATTGAGATCTATTCACCTACAAAGTTTCATGTTGATATCTCTTATAGTTTTAGAGTTATGCCCCGGACAAGATTTTTCTATAAGGGGAGATAATTCAAAAACCGGGCAAAATAGAGTTATGGTTCTTTGACACTGCACTCCCCCTCAATGCCCTCTACCACTGTATGAAGTTTCAACAAATTATCTCCAAGGGTTTTCAAGTTATGCTCCGGACAAGACAACAGACGGACAGACGGACAAGGCGCCGACTATATGCTCCCCCGAAATTTTTCGGGGAGCATAAAAACATTCCTGCAGTCTTAATCTATTAATGTTTGTTTTGTACCCTGATTTACCGAATGCAAGTATCAGTTATAACATGACCCTATTGTTGTTAATTGACTGATAAGCCATGCCTCATCAATTAGAAGCTTTAAAGCAGCATGCCTCCAGATTTTTGTCTTTTTTCATGAAAACTTCTTAAAGATTGTTGATGCTATAAAAATGTTATTAAAAGTACACATTGAGTGATTAAACATAGCTCAAAACACTTGCTACCCACAGACATTTTCTCTAACTAGTAAAAATATTCAGACCTCAATCTTTTTTAATTTAATAATGGGGTGTAATTTCTATTTTTATAATTTCTGTCACAGTTTAAAGAATACATTCAAAATTTCACACACAGATTATTCTGAATATCTATAAATTCTTTTAATTTTAATATATTTTTCTTTTTCTTTCACTGATTTATTTTTACTCGTCTGGAGGCAAGCCATTTTAATATGTAGACCTTTCTTTGCCATGTTGTATAACCTCAATTCAATCAAAATGATTACAAATCAAAAGACAACAAAGTTATGAATGACAACACAAACAAGTCATTAATTAAGTGATCAATCAATTAATTAATCAATCTTTAAGGCCATAAGATTATTGGCAGTGTTTTGGGTTTTTTTTAGCATTAAAACCAAACTCAAAAATTGTGGCAGCCCTAATAAACAAGGTTTAAAATATGTTAAAACTGGCATTTAACTGGAACAGAAAATAAAGGAAAGCCATTGATTCATTAGGTTTTAAATCACCGGAATACTTTAAAGATCAAATAACTACAGACTTAATTGGTGGATGAATCCCTCAGCTGTCCCTTGGTACATTATTCCACATGCACACAAGCAGACATCTGAGTAGAACCACAGGCTTTCTGTAAGCTAGCTGTACAGCTGCCTTTCATAAAACAATCCAAATTTCTCTGCATACAGGTATGGGGGAATTTTTTCGCACCAGTGATCTTAACCACGTGACAACAAAGTGACCTAAAACACTTGACCACAAGGCCTCACAATAAAGTCTGAATTCTACCAGTGTAAGTTTCATGTAACTGTATGAAGAAATATGGGCACTACAATATTACAGTGTATGACAAAATGGACAAATCCACAAATCCAGCATTTACTGCTAAACAGTTAATTTGACATTTTGCACCTATTCAACAAAAAATACTACAAGAACCAACATTTAAAATTTTGAACAACTCCAGTCTACTAATCACATATAATACTTTTCTTAACTTCGGTGGTAATGCTCATACATCTTAACAATTCATTTGGTACCAAGAAAAATAATATTCTTTAACAACTATCAACAGCCAACAAAACAGTTTAAAGCACTAAAAACAATCACAAAACTAATTTCTATAACAAAATAATTACTTAGCCAGAAATATAAAATAATAATAATGCTTAAAATTCTATGTAAGTTCAAGGGTCACATAGACACTATACATTTAAACTACTAAAAGCAACTTTTACAGTAAGGTCATTTCATTTAAGCCACATTTTTAACAACAGCAAATCTGCCAAATTAATCCATGGAAGCTGGATCACTGAAACTATTTATTTGAAATTAAATATAGTCAATGAGTGACAAGTAAAAACTGAAATAAGCCGTGTCATGACAAAACCAACATAATGGCTTTGCGACCAGCATGGATCCAGACCAGCCTGCGCATCCGCGCAGTCTGATCAGGATCCATGCTGTTCGCTATCAGTTTCTCTACTTGTTACAGAGTTTGTAAGCGAACAGCATGGATCCTGATCAGACTGCGCGGATGCGCAGGCTGATCTGGATCCATGCTGGTCGCAAAGCCATTATGTTGGTTTTGTCATGCCACGGCTCAAATAAGCTTGTATAAAGGTAGATATTTGGCAATAGTGATCACCTGATATATTACAGCTCATGTTAGTTCTGCATATTTATATAAATTACCAGTTGTAGAATATATATAAGATAGACAAGAAAGCACAACATTGCCCCAGTTTACAACACAGGTTTCAGCATATTTTATATATATATATTCAAGGTTACAAGTTGAAAAAATTCCTAAAAATATTGTTTTAGAAATTACTTTTTTTTAGTTTAAATGTAGAAAAACCATTATTTTTGAGTTTGTTAAAACAAAGCAATTTCTTTTTTTAATTTTTGTAGTGGACCCAAAATCCAGAATTATCGCAATATATATTAAATCAATATATCAATTTTTTTTGTATACGGGCTAGAGATTTTCCATCTTTTTTTATATTTTTTTTAAGTAGACATCATTAATTTTCTTCTTTATGTAATTTCTAAATTTCTATATGCATTTGAGAAAAACACTGTATTCCCTCCCCCTGCCCCCACTTACAGCCCTCCCCTGTTTTAAATACTAGTGTAAACATTGATAATAATGGGGAAAAGTTTATATTGTTTTTAAATTTTTTAAACATATTCATTTTTAAACCATTAAAATATCTGCTAATGTACACTTTCATAGCATTTATTTGTGTCATTAAGATTAATCATTTTCGATCAAATTTTGATAGATAAATCACAGAAAAAATTGTTTTACTAATATTGTCATACCATCAAAACCAAATACTATCCTGTCCATACACTTCTATGATAACCTTTCGCTCCGAGTAAACTATTTACAAACATTACAACAATGAGATGAGAAAAATGTAATCATGTTATTGTAATGTAGCATTGCAAGATGGGAAGGCTCTCAAAGCATCCTCATACTCTTTAATACAAATAAAAATATTTACAACTTTATTATCACTTAACTTATTCCTGTTAGAATTTAGGTCACAACACATTAGAGATCGTTTCGATTTATGGCAAGACAATATAGCAAAAATGCATTCTTTTTGTCTTAATTTAATCTTTTTTATAATTGATAAACTCTATTTGTCAGACTTTGATCTTTCTTATAGAAAATACACTTTTGTGCCTGAATTTAATCTTTCTTATACTAAGTTATAGAAAATAAACTCTATTTGTCTAAATTTGATATTTCTTATACAGTGTTATAGAACATACACTCTTTTTTGTCAGAATTTAACCTTTCTTATAGAACATACACTCTTATTTGTCTGAATTTAATCTTCCTTATAAAACATACACTCTATTTTTCTGAATTTGATCTTTCTTAGAGGAAATACACTCTACTTGTCTAAATTTGATCTTTCTCAGAGAAAATACATACTATTTGCCTGAATTCAATCTTTCTCAGAGAAAATACACTTTTTTGTATAAATTTAAACTTCTGTATTTAAACTTTCTTACCATAAAAATCAGTTCAATGTAGCATTTACCTTAAAACACACATTAAAAGCCTTCCTATCTTGCAGAACTCCATTATGTCAAAATTGTATAAAAAAGGTACATCATAAACTATCACTACATAACATTTTATTCATTTACAACTCAATTCAAAAGTCTATCTAGTGAAACAAGAAACCTTGTCTTAAAATGTGAAAAATCACAAGTTCAAAGGTTAAAATAAAAGAAAATATTTCTTCTTTTTTTGTAAATACATGGTTTTGATTTTTATAATCCAAAACTTTGGTGTTAAAAACAAACAAAAAATAATACAAAAACAAAAAAAATAGATCTGTTAACAAGTAATTCGTCTAGCACACTTACTAATAAATATCACAACATAAATTTCATTACAAAATTTAACACAAAAATATATATATATATATTTATCAAATGGTACTGTAATGTTTGAACATAAAGCAAAAATATCAATGACACAGATCATTTTATGAGTCAGCCAAATTGATTGGTTCTTCACTCACTGCGTTTTCTTGGTCATTTGTGTCGGATGTTTCTATTGGCTGATCAGTTTTGCCCTGTATCAATGCCAGGGCATTCATGGCTGACAAGTCAGGCAGTTCGCCACTGTACTCAGCAATACTTGTGGCTATAGAGCCAGGAATCTGGACCCTCAAGTCCGAGCCTGGCTGGTGTTCGATAAGAACCGAGGGTCCCGAGGAAGTCTGAACACTCAAATCTAATGACTGAGCATTACCAAGGTCAGAATCTCTTCTTATAGTCACTGCTGTTAAATCTCCACTCTCAGACACAACCCGTGAATTCTCCAGTAAAGTCGTACTCTGCCCTGGCAGAGGCACATTTAAAACACTTACAGAACTTTCTGTGTGAGCTAAATCACTGACCATTGTAGATGACATATTTTCTGCCAAGGATTCTGAAACACTGAGACCATTCTGTCCTGAAACTGACACAGATAAATCATTAGGCCCTGCACTCGATGCAGGAATATTTAAAACACTCTGCCCCGAAACAGGCATACTTAAATCCAAACTCTGTGGCGGGGTAGACGATGTTGAACCAGCAACTATGGTGTTGTCTGATGATGGTGTGGGAACATTTAACAAGAAATGTTTCTGTATAGTTTCTCTGTCAGCAGCAGATAGGCCAGCGAATGCCGCACTCTCCATCTCCTTGGCGATGACCTTCGGTCCAGACGTTGAAATATTGATCTCTCCGGGAGATCCCTGACCGTACAAACCATGATAAGACAATGGTGTAGCTGAAGGTGAGTGACCTTCTATTCTCGTAACAGTGACTGGTGGATGATTACATCTCTTCAAATGATCTGAAACATTCATTGAAATGTTATTTTCAAACTAAATAAACTTTTTAATTTTTTTTAAAAAAAATTTAAAAGAGAAGAAAAAAATATCTGAAATATAAAAACATTAGATTCTGGTGTTGAGATCGTATTTTATTCTCCTTTAAAAAATGTTGACATTTTGCATGAAAATTCAATTTTTGTATGAAAAGTTTTAAAAAAAATCTATGGTTATATATAAAAGATTAGCATAAAGGGATGCATAAAAGCTTAAAGGAATGAATCTTTCTTTAAAAATTGAACACAATTAAAGTTAAAGGATTTTACAAGTTGAGGAACAGAAATTTTTGTTTGTTCATATTATGTTTGCATATAATCTTTGAACTCACTGATGCTATGGAAAAACAATTTTTCTTATAATGACATAATACAACAACTTCTCAACATCATGAAAATCTGATAATGACCATTCAGTGTTTTGTGAATGTGGGACAATTCAACCAGGGCTTTCATACCCTATATTACTTCCTTCACGGTTCAAACAGAAATCTGTCAACTAAATTTAAGCATTATTCATGGACAGGCCATTTTTAAGGCCAAGTTTGCATTTTCAAGGACAAGTCCTGCAATAGCTTTCCAGCAAACAATAAAAGTGTTGGGTAAAGATTTCTATCTTAAAGCAAGTGTACACTTGAGACACCTTATCTGCATTTTCCTTGAGGGTGATTCCTCTCTCATTGCTTCTCAATCAAGTTCAATCAGGACACCCTCAATTCAAACACTTTTCAATACATAGATTGTTTTCAAGCACTTTTCAAGACCTGTGTGAACCTGGAAAGGGGCCCCAGGGCTTTCAGATTTGTGTAAGACAAGCAGGATTTTCTTGATAATGTGAAGTTTCGGCAATATTTTCCTTAAGATTGTAAAAGAGAAAGTATGATACAGAAATAAATTGTGAAAACTAACAACTTTTCTTAACATGGGTTTGATAAAAACAAAAAATTTAATTAAGATTTTTCAAAATGAAATGTTTAAATAACCCAGTTACATCAACTTAAAAATAATTAAGAATGCTTTAGAGTAAGAGTCTGAAATCTTGTTGTTCTCATGTTGCTTTGTTGTTATACTGTTGTTTTTGTTGTTGTTGTTGTTATCTGAATTTGTAAAGGGACATTTGCCAACCAACAGTATAGAGCTTTGTCAGACTGCACAAAATACATGCTGGCCTAGCTCTATACTGGTGGCAAAGATTAATCACTTTCGGTTCCAGTTGGCTAAGTGTTAGAAAACCTACCCATACATTTCTTGATGATTTCTTTAGAGTATAATACTTTAACTTACAATTAGAGTAATTATGCAGCATCCTGGCTCTACCAAGTTTTACCTTAGCCCCACATGTACATAATAATGTAGCATCATCCACAGCCTGAACACCAGGGTATGTCACAGCAAGTTCTAAAATATCAATATAAATTTTCAACAATTATACTAGATCATTTCAACAAATGCTGACAATTTACCTATTTATAACTGTCCTTTGGATGATCCAAGTTCCCAGTATTACATGTTTCTTCTATATTTAAATTTATATCAACAATGTTAAGCCTTAAGGTCTTTTGGTAATTTTCAAATTTTAATAAAGATTGTTTTTTTTGGTGGGGTTGGCTTTTACGTCACACTAACATTGTAAAGATCATAACATATGGTGAATTTCCTGCTTTACTGGTGGAGGAAAACCTCAGGTGCTCTTCCTGGCATTATTCAAGGCTAAACAGGCACCTGAATAAAACCACCGACATTATGTAAACTAGCTGAATAGCTTTCTAACAAGTAAGAATCTAAAGTCTCTGGCAGGATTCTATCCCACAGCAGTGAGTGGTAAATTGTTTGAGGTCAACAACTTTAATAAAGTTGAAAATGTGAAGAATGCAATAAATTTAAAATATTGAATGATATGGCATAATACTAATGTAGTGACAACCTAAACATTTTATTCCATTTTTTCTCAAATAATAATTAGTACTCCTAAGTACAGTCAAACCAAGCTATAAGACTATTCGCTGAAGAAATGTGTTTATACATCAATGCAAAAAAGGACTGTAAGAAAATCTAGACATTTTACAAGCATATTGAAACACTAATCTTAAATGATATTACACATTCATAAATGGTGGTGGTTTTTTTTATTAAAAGGGCCATATATATATACTTGAAGTTGAGCTGGCTAGTTAGATGAAATTTTTTTTGAAAAATTTCAATATTAAATTGGTATTGTTAACCCATATAAGGTTTATACAGTGCACTCAGGATACAACGAGATCGTCGGGACTTCGGATGATTCCTCGTTATAACTGGGTCTCGTTATAAATGGGACAGAACAAATTGAGAAATCAGACACCGTAGAGCATCATTTATTTCTACTTTCGCGTGCATCCTTTTTGAAGAGTATATAATGGGAGGTAACTCTTTGCAATCAGAAGTTTTTGTTTTATTTAAATATACATGTATATAAATATATCTAGCTATCATAGAATTTAAACAAAACATGAAAACACAACCTACGTCTAACCGCGTGTTTTTTCATTAATATGTACATTTTAAAGTTTGTTTTCAAAAGTCACACAGTGCATTTCTCACGAACACCGAATAACATCACAAGAAATTAGCTGCTTCCTTTATGCTAATCATTCAATGAAATTGTTTTGTAATGACATTTCGTCACCTTAAGGACAATTTAGCCTGGAGCGCTGACAAAACAAGGCTGACACATTTGATCGCTAATTGCTCGACCCATTATCTCGTCCCGAGTCAATAATTTCTTCCTTAATTGACCTTTATTTTGGTCATCATTGTTTTTGTCAAGTTGACAAACTGATGCAGACGAGGTGCAAATGAAGTGACCTCGTTAAAATTCTGACAAATACGCATGGTATGGCGAAATTATGTACGTTGTAACCGATATCTCGCTAAAACCAATCTCCTTATAAACGATAAAAAATGAAAGCAAAATAGAAGGAAAAAGGCTGGGACACAGTAGAATGTACGTTGTAAGCGGTACATCGTTAAAACCGATCTTGTTTTAAGTGGAGTAGACTGTATTTGGCTTTAATTTCATGCAAATTATATCTGTTAAAAACATGTAACATTGCAGTAAAAACATTTTGATGACCTTTGTCCTTAGTGCCAAGTTTACTTTATACAGGTGACCTTAATCTTATAGTAGTCTATAGCACAGGTTTGACAGTATATAAAAGAAACATGTATACAAACTTTGTTTAAATCTTTGTAGAGTAACTTGTTGTTGTTCAGGTGTTCTCTCTTTCTGCTGTATTTTAGGCTTCTTTTTGGATGTTTTAATTTCAACGGTTCCCTCTATCTCTGGTGTCTGAGTTGCCACAGGATATTGTAACTCTGGTCCAACTGGTACCACAAAAACATAATCAAATGTTTTTAACTAATAACTAACTCATCAAAGTTTATAGTGACTTTTTAATATGAGGCTATCTATGAGTTTTATATGTCATTAAAAGTTTTCATTTTACATCATGAAATATTTAACTTTTTTTTTTATTTTTTGATAGGGTTTAACATTGCACAAACTCAGTATAATTATGGCAACTTTTCAGCATTACTGGTAGAGGAAGATTGCAGGATATTGTGGATTACTCCAAGCAAAAACAGGTACCTTAGTAGAACCAACAATGTTCCGTAAGCCAGTTTGATAGCTTTCTCCTGAAAGAATCTAAAGACACTGGTAAGGCATTAGCCTACAGTGCTGACAGGCATGACGTTTGAAGTCAATGACCTTAACCACCCCACATGGATGCCCTAAAATTTATCAAGATACTAAATACCAAATAAGCACCATTTTTTATGTACTTGAGAGCCTCATTTCCACTGTAAATAGTTACCCTCAATCTAGATATTCCAATCTGTACTGACAGCTGGTGAAATATTCTTATAACAATATTAGTTGTTGCTGATGTTAAAGTAATATAGACCAAATGTTTGCCTTATTCAACTTCTATAAAAGCTTATGAAAAAATATTTAAAGCACATACTTTGATAGTTTCTAGCTGCCAGGACCTCATCCATGTGTGCACTAACAACAGTTTGTACAATGGCAGCAACCTCAGCACTGTAAGGCTCTTCTGGATTACCAACAGCATGACTTGCTACAGCCTGGGCTATAGCCTGACTTACTGCAGCCTGTTGACTGGCAGCAACCTGCGCCAATGCCTGGTTAACTGATGTATTTGGAACACCTTTCTCGTCTAGTATCAACCCTGCATTAGTCTGCAAATCAAAATTAGTTAATTTGTTGTTAACAGAGCAGCTTATGAGATATTGTTTAAAGTCAAATTACTAAGTGAGAAAATACATGTACAGTGGAGACTTGCTAATCCGAACCCTTCTAATCCAGAATCCTTTCTTATCAGAACGAAGTTTCCGGTCACGATTTTATTTGTTCTATTTTCAATAGTAAAAAACCTTTCGGATCCGGAACCTGTGTACTCCGAATTCCGGACGATTTTTTCAATTTTTGTTCTTATTTTACTCTAAAATTTACCTCTCGGATCCGAACAGATTTTGCCATATGTCACACCTTCTTTAAAAATAACAAATAATCGCACATCTTGCAGGTGTAAACATACACCAAACTCTTGATTAATGGGTGAAACGTACGATCTGCGAAGGTGTGAAAATTACACTTAGCTTGCTTTCATTTCTTCTATAATTGCTTAAATGATTGTTTTTCGTCACCTTCAATAAATATTTTGATATAATGCAATAAAAATATCTTTTAATCCTTTGTAATGGATTCAATAATACGTGATTAAGCAATGAAAATTAATAGAGACTGTCAGTGAATTCGGATAATCGCTGAATCGGATAAGAGTAAACAAAAATTGATAAAATGCTGGTACGAATATTTAATCATGTCTCCGCCTCTTGTTTTACATCGTAGGTTAACTTACCCTTGAGGACATAATATTTTTTTGCTTATTTATTTATTTTCATTTTTGTATTATCATGTATTAGAATGAACGGTAAGAGACTGCAAAAATAAAATATCTAAATGCAATTTCAAATGCAATCCCGTTTTCTTTCCCTAAACTATTTTGTAAAAACATGTAACATGAAAAAACATGTAAAAGAACCTTCTAATTCGGAAACCTTTCTAATCCGAAAACCTTTCTAATCCGAACTTTTCTTCTGGTCCGGACGAATCCGGATTAGACAGGTCCCACTGTACATACAAAATTTAACATATAATATAAAAACATCATTTGTAAAGATGTGTGTACTAAATCTGTCTTAATCTGTAATAAATAAAATCATTTATTTTGCAGTTGTTAGAATGTCTATATATTTCAGAAAAAAAAACAACAATAAAAACATTATTAGCATCGTAGAATTCAACAAAATTAAAGACACTAATGCAATATAATTATAACAAAAAGAATTCATTTACAAATCATAATAGAAATTAATTATACTAAGTCGGGTTTTTTTTCATACATATGTACACAGTGTTGATGAAAAATCTTTTTTTTTTTTCAATATTATCCTGATCTTTTTCTAAAAGATTAGGTGATGTAGTCTAGTGCCTAAGATGTGTACCTCTAAACCCTGGAAATGGGGGCTTGAGTTATCTTTCCTTATATGACACCAGTACCAATTTGTCCAGAAAGCAGACTCAAGTATGATACAAATAAGCATCAAGCTTTTGTCTTGATAAACGTTTCTTAAATCTTGTTAACTAAAGGCCTACCTTAGCAGCTTCTGCCTCTATATGTCTACTGAAGTCAGAATCTGTTGGGTAATATGGTTTATGTTTACTATAATACTCCAGAAGACTTGCCGCGTATCTCTCATCGAGAATCGGCATGTCCGCCGTTGGTTTCTGATGACGTTTTGGTGAATGAGTCTTTCTTCTCACTGCACGTTTGGCTTTCTCTGAATACCCGCGCCGCTCCTCGGTATTTATCGAGACTTTCTCGTGTTCGGTAGTCATCGGTTCCTCTTCTTCCTCCTCGGTTGACATCATTTCCGGTACCGTAACCGAATCTTTCACAGGCGTCATCTTTAAAATATACAGAAAAAAAAAACAACGTAAGTATACCAAAAATACCATTTTTAAATGCTGAAGAAGCAAAATAAAAGCAAATATAAACCCCTTCTGGAGAACTTGTTACTTCAAATTATGATAGTAGATACGAAAGAAAAAAGTTCTGAAATTAATTTTTCTTAATTTTTTCTTAATTTCCTTTACATATAACTAAATAAATTTAAAATCGACCACACACTTTTTTCTCACTTACCATTTATCTGTTGATATCTTTCAATATTTAATTAAGATGCAAGTCCAATTTCCATTTCAAATGAGAACAGATTTAACTTATGGAGGAACATATAGTATAACACTGTAAGATCGTTACTCAAAGGGATATAAAACATATCATACTTCATCAGTGAGATACTAAATATATCACTCACTCATTATATTCAATGATCATCATGAAAACTTACTGTTTCTCATCAATATACATAAAATAGATAAAAATTCTTGTGCTGTAAAAAAATGTATTTCCAATGAAACTATGAAGAGATAACTCCAGGGATGTGGTCACAATGTAACAAGTAAAAAATATATTTCAAATCTCACACTGTTACAAGATTTATTCCCCAGATTCATCTTTTAACCCGGAAGATGATCCAAGTACTAGCAATCCAATATCAAAATCTGCTCTTCACCGACCATCCAAAATAGTGGTGTCAACAACTGGATTGTGCCCCAAAAAAAATTGTTACACTGATGAAGGCTCCCCAATGACACTGTTACAAAGGTTCAGAAAAAAATAGAGCTAAAAGGAAGTTTAATTTTGAAGGAAGAGGGCCGGGGAAATCTATTTTTTAAACAAAATGACCTTGACATTGATCTTAATCAAGCTGGAATACGCTAAAGAAAAAAGGAGTGACAAACTGGCAACTACTAAGTAATTATGTGTACCCCTCGCCAATTTTTTTTTAGGTTACAGTCATATGAAATGTCACCTGCACAGACATGAGCAAAAAAATCTGCATTACAGTCCATATACTAAAATGCTTGATTCAAGAAAAACTCAGTAAAATAGAACAACAAAAGCGTTTTGTGACTTAATTATACAACTTTATTTTGAATTCAAAAGTTCTCTTACACAACATTTTCTATGTTTTTAATTTGAATTTTCATCATTCATATTTTCACTTTTCTTTTTTGCCTTGTTTTCTTTTTTTTTATTTAAATGACCCACTTGATATACAATATCCAATTGAACAAGTTCCAAGGGGGTCCAACCCAGACCCTGTTACTTACAGATAAAATTCAATATAGTAGAAGACAAGCACCCTGATCAAACCTGTCTGATCAGACAAAACAGAAATAGTGAAACCCAATCTTTTTACATAAATCAGTAAAAAAAGGAATATTTCAGACAAAGAAAAAAAAACAACAACAAAAAAATTACACAATATTTCATAGATTATCTAGAAAAGAAAAAGAACTTGTAAATAACAAAACATGGTAAACTAAACAAATTAAAGCACTGCTCTTAAGTACATCATGGAAGACATCATGGTAACAAAAAAGTAAATTAACAAATTTCAAAACTCATTTGGCCATTTTACAAACAAGGGCAAATCTAAATGCTGCCCCAAGAGTGGGGGGCACAAAAACATTCAATAATTATGATATAATTATTATATATAAATCAAAATTTGATAAGGGGCACTTTAACACTGTGTTATATATTGTTGACAATTTTGTCAAATATATTGTTTTGTTCTTTATATTTTCAATGTTTAATAAAGAACTTGGAGCTAAAAACAAGTACATGGTTGTAATGGTAATCAAGCAATAATGGAAAAACTGTCATCCAAGAAGAAAACAGTGACCCTTATCAAAGTTTGGAATATCTAAACTCTACAAAACAACCACTGTGACAACAATAGAACAATTACAGCAACTTATTCAAATTTAATGAATGATAACTGAAGACTTATCAGATGTTTTAAACAATGAATAGTGTAAATTACCCTTATTTTGTCAATAAGCATTGTAAATCCTAGACTACAGACATTGGCAATGTTGTTTTTTTTCTTTTGTACTAATCCATACCTTAGATAAAGACTCGTTTCCAAACAATTTTTAATCTCTCAGTTCTTTTGTAACTGTTATATATGCATGAAACAAAACTGAAAGTTCCATTATCAATTATAACTCTGTTATGACTTGTGAGTCAAAGATTTCCCTTTTCAGAATCCCCAGGTTATATTCCTTATAGTTTCAGTTTTGAGATTAAAATGCGGTCATGTGGCTATAATACTAAAAATTTTCTAACTGTTAAACCCTTGACCAGCTGGAACCAGGACTTATAAGTCTTTGTCATCAGTATAAAGCCAGGGCAAGTCTGTATGCCCAAGCAGTCTGATCAGGCTCTATACTGTTTGTAGCTGATTTTTTGTATTTTGATATTGAAATACCTAAAACTTTTAATGGACTGTTCCAAATTCAAAGCAGGGCAAATCCATTACACAAAATCAGCAGGTTAAAGCTTAAAAAGAAGTATTTAAAACATAAATGGACTTCTAAATAACTATAACATAACAGATTATAATAAAACAAAAACAACAAAAAACAACATGTCAACTGACATCATACAACAAAGGCAATAAGAAATCTATTTAAAGATTCAAAATAAATTCTGAGAGGCACTATCGTTCATTTCTTCACTGTTTGCAATGAAATGAATAAAAACAAACTTGCATATCTGCCACAGTGTACTCTTTAGAGTTGATGAGATTAAGTTTACAAACAAAGCATCATGAACTATCATATTTTTTTTTCGCAATAAATAACACTAATATGAAAAGCTGCCATTTTGTATCTCTTTTAAAAGACACACAAGAAAATTTACACAAATCAATACACGAATATCAGTGATACATGAAAGAAGTTCCAAGATACGGTCTAAACTATCAGAAATAGCGGAGAGAGAAAAAATTAAACAATTGCCTCAGTAGCCTTGACCCTAATGACTCTATTTACAGGTGAAGGGTATCTAAGGGTAAAGGTATGTACAAGGGTCATACATACATAACAAACATTTACTACATTTGGTAAAGAAAATAAGGCATGATGAGAAATGGCATAAAAAAGGGAACTCCTGAAGGTAAATCCTATGATTGTAAGCCCCTATTCAAAGTAAAATTAAAGGGATCATAAACAATACAATTTTCTCCTAATACATGCAATGTGATCATGTACTCTTGGCTAGTCAGTAAGTAAGTACCGAATTTAAAAATTTTCTTTAACCCTAAAATCCAAAATATGATGAATGATTTTGTCCTGGTTGAAAGATGGACAAGTCCATAAAGATTTTAGCATGGAAGGGGTTAATATCAAAGTAACATGAATATATAGGCATACTGCTGCCTTTAACGAAGAAACCTGCAAAAATGTGTTTTTACTGGCATTATGTACTATAATTTTTTTAAAAGCTTTTCTTTTTTTAGTTGGGTTTTATGTCGCACCAACACAGTTTAGGTCATATGGCAATTTCAAGCTTTACTGGTGGAGGAAGACCTCGGGTGCCCTTCCATACATTATTTCAGACACAAATGGGCACATGAGTAAAACCACCGACATTCCGTTAGCTAGCTGGATAGCTTTCTCACATCCAAAGTCCCTGGGGGAATTCGAACCCACAGCAGTGAGGGGCAAGTGGTTTGAAGTTAACTCTTAATCACACGGCCACAGACACCCCCTCAAAGGCTCTTCATCACATTGTTTACATAATCTCATGACCATATCTATAGTTTTAACTACAAGCATCTCTGTTATTCAATGCTAAAGAATTAACCATGTATAAGAAAACATCAATAAGATATTCTGTAACAAATTATTCAAGAGTGTTATTGTTAGAAGATCAAGCGATGATTGTGCTCACAAACTTATTTCTTATCCTTATTTAATGTGCTAATGCAACAAATCAAATTTAGCAATTACAAAGACTGAATAACCTGTAATAAGATGAATAAAATACAAATTTTGAAATAAGCAGTCATTTATCGATAAAAGGATAAAAAAAATCTCAAATATTTTACTTAACAGTTTAAAAAAGAAAATGGTAAGATGACGTTTTTGTATTTGAAATCAAAGAAACATAAATGCTGTACAAAAAACTTTCATTAATGTGATTTTACAACAGATTTGTGGAATAATAAACATGCTAAGCTAGTACACTCTCTCCTACAGTGGACACAAAATAAGATCAACAGTTACCTTTATTAAAACATTTCAATTGTTTCAAGTAATTTTGGTATACAGTACAAGCTGTGTAGTGCAACCCCCATTCCAAGACAAAAATTTTGGTGCAGAAGTATAGCTCTAGAGAGGCTAACTTTGTTATTAAGTCTTACTATAAGAGAAACTTACACTGTGGAGAAATTATTGCTCTGCTAAGGGCCACTCAATCGAGATTGTACTGTATATATAGATTTCTGCACAGTAGGAGATGTGAACTCTGCTGTATGTATGTTACACATTTTACATATACACCAAATATATATATATATAGAAAGAGATAGCACTATATTAATATGTGTATATACTGTCTAATATCTTATTCACCAGTCTATATATGAGTGTGGTAATACAGTTTGTTTTGCCTAGTTTTCTAGCTACTGTGGATACACCAAGAAGCACACAACACTTTATCCAATCATACCTGAGCTGATGAATAGGCCTGATGATACACAGTGTGGGCGGTGGCTTCTGAATATTGAGGAGGTGTGGCTTGTGTCACCACAGGCGGAGTTACAGCAACTTGATGGACAGCCTCATCAGGGGCTTCCTGCTGAAAATAACAATGGACAAATGTCAGAAAACAGGTTCATATATCAAAACAATTATGTACAAACAAAATGAGGAAAATATTAAAGATTGGATATTTTAAAACAAATTATTAAATCAAAAGGATCAAAACTTAAGCCTACTTCCAGCCTTAAAATATATTTGAGATTGCAGAAGGTGCTTCTGCATAAGATCAAAATGTAGTTTATGAAAAAGGTAAAGAAGTTTCAATACAAGAGGGCCATCATGGCCCTGAAATCGCTCACCTGTATATAGGCCCCCGGGGCGGGGCCAATTTTAACCCAAGGGCTTTTATTTGAACAAACTTGGTAACACCCATTAGAAGATTGTTCCTGATAAATATCTAAGCATCTAAGCTCTTTCTCTTTGGGGTTTTTATAAGAAGATTTTTTAAGTTTTCACTATACACATATAGGGAAAAACAATGACCCCCCCTGGGTGGCGTCAATTTTGACCCCAGGGCTTTTATTTGTTCAAACCTGGTAGACTCTCACTAGAACATATTTCATGCTTAGTATCTAAACTCTAGCTCTTTGGGTTTTTTAAAAGAAGATTTTTTAATTTTTCATTTTCCACATATAAATAAATCAATGAACCCCGAGCGGGGCTAATTTTAACCCAAGGGCCCTTATTTGAACAAACTTGGTAGACACCCATTAGAAGGTGTTTCATGCTATATCTTAGCTCTAGCTCTTTTGGTTTTTTAAAAGAAGATTTTTTATATTTTTTTTTACTATATACATAAAGGGAAAAACAATGACCTCTGGGGCGGGGCCCATTTAACCAAAGGGCTTTTATTTGAACAAACTTAGTAGACACCCACTAGAAGATCTTTCATGCTTAATATCTAAGCTCTAGCTTTTCGGGAATTTTTAAAAGATTTTTTAAGTTTTTACAATATACAAATATGGAAAATTAATGACCGACCCCAGGGCATTTACAACTTGGTAGACACTGACTAGACGATGTTTCATGCCAAATATCTAAGCTCTAGCTCTTCCTGTTTTCTATAAGAAGATTTTTAAGTTTTTCTTTCAGTTGCCATAGCAACCAGAGTTCTGCATGGAATTAAATTCTTTGAACATTTTGATAAACATGAAATAAAGTTATTATAAGTCAAGTTGTTAAAGGCCTAATAACTTAAAACAACAAATCATTCTATGAAAATTTTGATTTTATAAATTTTACAAGCAACATCTCAGATAAATTGAATGTAGAAATTCAGAAAATATTGGTGAGGTCACTGAATATTTATTTCATTGATCAAATATGCATACAAGGGTTATTCATTTTATCAACAAAGCTATTGTTTAAACGGAACTTTTTTTGAGTGTTCCTTTTTTGGTTAAGGTTTAAAGTCACACCAACACTTTAATGGTCATATGGCAACTTTCCAGCCTAACTTACTAAAATACACAATGAAACTCTTGTTTTTGTTGTAATTTATGTTGCACTAAAAAAGTATAGGCCACTTTCCAGCTGAACTGGTGGAGGAAGACCTCAGGTGCACTTCTGTGCATTATTTCAGATACGAACGGGCACCTAATTAAAACCACCGACATACCACAAGATAGCTTCCTCATATCAAAGAATCCAACAGTAAGAAGCAAGTGGTTATTAACCACATGGCCACAGATGCCCTGTAAGAGGCTTTTTGACATTTTAATTGGACATGTTAAAGGAACAAGGATAGAATATTTTGAGATAACAATATTTTTAGAAGGTTTTGTTTGTTTGATTGGGTTGAAGGTCACATCAACACAGTATAGGTCATGTGGTGACGTTCCAGCTTTACTGGTGGAGGAAGACCTCAGGTGCCCTTCCGTGCATTATTTCAGGCACTAACTAGGCACCTGAGTAGAACCACCAACATTCCATAAGCTAGCTGGATAGCTTCCTCACATGAAAGAATCCAAAGTCACTGTTGGGATTCGAACCCACAGCGGTGAGGGGCAAGCGGTTTGAATTCAACGACCTTAACCACTCGGCCACGGATGCCCCTACTTTTAGAAGATATCTCGGCAGTCAGCCAAATTAACTATTAATCCTAGATTCTAATCACAGCAATTACACAGTAATTACACAGCAAGAAACCAATTAATCAACTGCTGACATTAACTAATAATGTGTCCATAAGGCATGAATGCCCCCTAATTCCACTGTCCTATTAGTTTACAGAACAGACAGCATTACAGCTATCCAGGGGCAAATCTATATACCCTCTCCCAAAGTGGGCATAAAAACTGCCTCAAATTCATATTAAATCAAGAGACCTCACTGACATTCAAAGAGTTAAATACATAGATATATTTTTACACCAACCTGAACTTCTTCTGTGGCTCTCAGCTCTAGTTCCTCATTTGGTTCAAGGACAACATGTTGGTCGGCAACCATGGCATGCATGTGTGAATCGTGCTGCTCTTTCTTCATTTTACCAGTACGAGGTGAAGCTCCAGCCCCGCTCAATCCTCGACGTTCATTACGGAACTTATCACATAGAATAACATACCAAGAATCCTGAGAAAACATAACAAATGATGGTTAAATTATGATCAATACATACAAAAAAACGTTATAATTTTCTTCTCTTAAATAGTCATCGATATAATACAGGCAGAGTAAATGGGAAAGGGCAGCACCTCTTATTTAACATTTTGGAAGAAAATTAACAATCCTTATTAATAGCGAAAGTGGTCAAATCCACCAATTAATAAAACTCAACCTTACTTTAAAAAGACATGAGAATTTCCTACAGTAACATTTAAGTCAATATTCAAACTGTACAGTTTATGAGATATACAAACAAGAAATAATGTAACTTGTATTCTACCATCCTTCAATAACCCCTTGTAATAAGTTAAAACTGTTCTATGGCACAGAGGAGTTAAATGTAAGAAAATTACAAAATGACCATAATTTTACCTTTATTAAATTTTGATCCTTGAATTCGGAATTTTCTCCTTGAAATTGGGAAGAAAACATAGTTTTTGGCACTGGGAACATGACCCGATATAAGTCATCAAAGTGGGCCAGAAAAACCCCAGTCCTCAGACTGCTTTGATCAGCAAACATGCCTGGCATAGCACTGGTTGCCTAGACAAGCCACTAGAGCTCTTAAGATTAAATATTTACAGGTAATGAGAGATAATGTATGTACTTACAGCAGGTGAAATATGACTGGCTTTCATCTTTGCAGCTAATGTAGGGAAGGTTTCTACAATAGCATTAGCTACAGCCATCTTTTGGGTTGGTGTTGGATATCTGAAATAAGAAAAAAAGTCATTTAAAGACACATCATTGTGATATACATATAACGGTCTTGTCCTACTTTGAGTTAAGAACATGTTCATTATTAATATTAGGGGTTTTGATAACAAAAGGTTAAAATTATAGAAACTGGACAGACAGCATGGATATGTAGGCAGGGTTTTCATTTTTATTTGGGGCAACAGATGCACCAATATAACAACTGATTCGGCCAAGGGTCAAAGGGGATATTTTAATCTACAGGCTGAAAATACAACTGATTTTAACAGCAATTCAACTGATGATATGGATCAATAATCTGTTAATAATGAAAACTCTGTGTAGGCTGTCATGGCTCCTTGCTGGCAATTTTTTTTTTTTTTAAATGCCGATTTTCACACAATTTTTATCACATTTCCTCAACCGAGCCACCTGACCGGCTTTCCTGCATAACTAACCCGTAATTACAATTTCTACACAAGTGACCCATCCTAATCCCACATGATTTTTTAATCAGCAGTGAAAACAAATTACCCTAAGACTTCAAATGTCATAAAGAAAGTAGGCTTCACCCTAGGTTTGAACCAGTAACCTCTGACTTACAAATACCATGCCCTCAATACAAAGCTAAGTAGGTCAATTCTTACCACCACAGACATATTAAGTCCATGCAGCAGGGACAATTAATTAAGCGACATTTATTACTTCCCCTGGCAATGCCTCTATTACTATTATTCAATTTTCAGACAGTACTGTAAATGAATGACCCAAATTAACAAGCAAATCATAATAATATCTGTATAATACTTACAATCCGGTGTATTTAATGAGTTCATGAAATATTGTGTCAATCAGCTGTATTTTGCCAGCTCTGGTTATCTCCCCTGTTTGTATCATTTGTAACGCCTTAAGTCCGTAGTCGAGGTTGGAGACGGGGAACTTGTCTGGGAATGGTATAATCTGTTGAATCTGATGAGAGTAGTATTTTGGATTGCTGTTCTTCATTGATTCGAGAAATTTACGTCGCATTTTCTTTGTAGATATTTCAGCTGCAAGCTTGTCATCTATTGGTAAAAAAAAAAAAAAAATTAAAAATAAATCTAAAATGTTACATATGGTTCATCTCAGAAAATGTAAACATATAGTGATACAAGATCTATAACTATAGACTATTTTGCCCTTTAATGTATTAATTACTACATATACAGCATTTTGTATCACATTTTCAAATTTAGATTTTCTATCTTTCCGACACCGAAAGAAGAAAATGACATATCAGATCTGATTGTATAGATCAGATATAATGTTTTTGAATATTTTATCATTTAATACATATAACGTACATTGTAGAAAACAATTTTCAAGTTATTTCAATATCAGAATAAAAATTTATCGAATGTACAAATTGACGTATCCAATAGGTTAATTCACCTCATTTTCTATCCAACACGAAAAGAAGAAAATGGGGTATCAGATCTTATAATTTGAATAAGATCTGACAAAACCAAACACTTTTTCATTAAATAATAATGCTGGACATTGTAGAAAAATGGTTTCTTTTATAAATATGTCCCCATCAATAAAATTATGGGCTCATAAAATAAGGTATTCGCGAAGGAAATTTTTCATATTTTCTTCTATGGTATTTTCCAACAACCAATGAAATTGAAGTATTCTCAAATTAACAGAAATTAACAGAAATACAACAATATGATTGGTCACAACTATTGTGTACAATAAAAGGTTTATTCTCTTCTATTTTCGTAAATTTAAAATACTTTTCGTCTCGTTTAACATCATTATATGTGGTGGTTGGTCCATCTATCCGATTCTGATAAAGGTTTGAGTGATTTATTAGTGCGTGGTCCGCGAGCTCACATTTTCTCCAGCAAAAAGATGAATATATTAAGATATAATCAATGCCGTAAAATGAAACTTTACAAGATAAATACAAGGTAGTCTAACTAGACAAAACTTTTTTGATATATTAGGTTAAGACGCGAACATATAAACATTACGCGAGAGGTAGTTGCCTAAGTTATATACTACAGTATAGGATACTGTATGTAAGTTTCGACAATATATTTTTACGTTTTAAATTTTTGAGTCAGTGCACAGCCATTGTATAAAGTGTACAAAACCTATTTTAAGTGTTTATTTTTAAAAGTGGCCCTAATAAGTGGCCGTGAAACGGTGCTATTGAGAAGTTTATTTATTTATTTTGTAATTTTATTGCTATGTAATTTTAATTGAATAATTTCTTAAATAGGCTGTGCACTAGACTATTTTTACCATACAGTCTCATGGTTATTTTCAAAATTGGGAGGTGCTGGCTACAGATTACACATAATGTCAAAAAGACTCCATATTGTATATATCCCTTTGCCCCCCGCCCCGTGTTATTTATTATCTATCTTTTTTATTCCTGTATATATAAACTAGTATCCTTAATACTAGTAAATGTGAACCCGTGCCCCCATATGGAGCAATACGTTTATCACGGGTCCACTCAAGCATGAGATTTTCTTAAATATGTTACAAAAAGACTATCTCATCACATTATGGGTAACCAAGTTATTATTATTAGCCATATTTGGGACTTAGATTTTTTCTTATTCTTCTATGAATTGTTTAAGTAATAGAAGATTTATTATTATGTGTGATATCTAGATGCATAATAATTTATAGACCATGAGACAGTGATAAATAGATAAGGCCGTTTCCACCACATTTTAACTATCATATTTGTTTTAATTTTGAAATAAAGTTGGTAAAAACACGTATACATTGGATGCAACGGGCACCTGCTAAATCTCTATCACGTTCGCGCGACAAACTTGTCGATATAGGTCAATCCGAAAATTAAGAAAATTTGCAAATTATCACAAAACCGGATTGACCTCCTTATTTTGTAAACAGAGAATTTTCGGCCAATGAGAACAAAGGAGGCAATCCTCTCTAAACCAATCAAAATTAACTTTATAAAGCGGGTGTTCGGTAGAACTTACAAAAATTACAAAATTTAAAACAAACTCTGCTAATTACAAACATGTAATTAATTATATGCATCCCAATGTATACGGTTTATAACATTTAAATAGATACCAACATAAATAACAGTTAGCCCACAATGAATTGGTCAGAAAACGTTCCTGACATGCCTTCTTCGCAAGTATGCGAACTCTTCAAATATAGGTAATATTTTAAAATTTTTTAGTTATACTAAATATTAGATAGACCTGCTATAAAAGACGGTAACTGCTATAAACGTCTTGGCCAATTTTAAAATAAGTGCTTTTTAATAAATTAAATTTTTAGAATTCTTAATCTTAGTATGGGATTGCCCCATCTTCCTCCCATGGCAGAGGTTGTACGTAGAGACTACCCTGTCATGGGGGATATGGTATGCACATAAACACATGTACGGATATAACAAAAAGTAATTAAACATCAGCTCCCCCTTTTTAAAAGGTTATAAATGAAGTATATGCTCGCCCATATGGTCTCTTTCCGGTGGCGAGGGTAAACAAACCCAAACACACACACAATGTAAACATAGAAATTAGAAATGGTAGAAAGATCTGATTAAAGTGTATCACACATGCAGAGCAAGTTTAGCTTTTATCACGTTATATTGACTTGACATGAAAATTGTAGGAACAGAAATAATTCAAAATTGGAACAATGCATTCTTTATTCTTTTACAATGTAGTTGCTATTTATCTATATCGAAGTTCAATATTATTTTCATATTCCAAGCCTTTGTATAGTTTTCTAGTTATGCAATAAACCTGAAAAATTGACAAGGACTGACACACCATCTTCATCTATTCACTAATTCAGAGATACAAAAAATGTTTAAACACTTAACCAAAATTTATTTAATGTATATAAGCCATTTTACATACCATTCTAATGTCTAGTATTCCTGATGAAGGCAAGAGAGGACCAAAACTGATACATTTGATTCATAAAAGAAAATCCCCAAACTTACTATGAAGTTTGGAAGGTTTGTTTATTAAACTTTTACTACTGTGTAATATTCTAGATGAAGCATATGTTAAATTTCAACTTGAAAAAACTCCTTTTCTACATACAAACCACAGAAACACAGTGTTTTTTATCTAAGTCTATTACATTAACCTATAGAGGCTAACACTGTTTGAGATCATAATGATTTGTCACTACCACTTCTGTAGTAATTAAGATAGAAAACATACCAGCTGGTGAGGTGTTGTTGCCAACAGCTGCATACATTGATACTGGGTATGTCTGTCCGTCTTCCCCTGTAACCTCTGCCGGGACTTCTTGCTGTGCTGCAATGTCTGGAGTCAGAGTTTTCAGACCTTCCATGCCACCATGACTGTCCTCATCTGATTGGCTTGCTTCAACTGTAACATCAAATTATCATACAATTTCAAATAATACAAATCAAGAGCACCACATGCAGTGTTTATGCTTATCTGTTAAAAATTCTTAGTTAAAAAGGGGCATAACTCCAAAAATATGGCTTTTAGAATTATGCCCCTTGTCCAACAACTGCACATTGTTATGATAAGCAAGAATTTCAAGTTTCATGTTGATAATTTTTTTACTTTTTGAATAATGGGCTACATTAAAGTTTTTTTTGCACCACGACAACAACAACAACAACATCACAGCAAACATAATACCCATACTTTTTTTTTTGAAACAGACAACCTAAAGATGTTGTTTGGATTCAAAATCACACTGACCCTTGCTTAGATTGTGTTGCGTATTGACAGATTTACAGGCAAAGGGATAAAAATCTCAAATTTCCCTGTACATAATTATCATTTCAAACAAGCCCAGAGTAGAACCACCAACTTTTTATGAATTAGCTGGCATAGCCGAGTAGTTAATGCATATCATTAAGTAATCTAAAAATTGTTTGCTGTGTAGGTTCAAACCCCATCAGGGGGCAAGCTTTTATCTCAGTGAGTACGGAACTTAACACTCATTACTAAGTACTGTTTGGTTCTAGGAACAGATTCAAGACTGTGTCTATAAGCTTATAGCTTCCTACACAATCTTACTAAACATAAATTCCCTCTTAAGCTTGCTTGGTAACTTCCTCAAATGAGAATATTCAGTATGCCTGGCTAAAATCCAAACACAGCTACACACCGCAACAGATCAATGTACTCTGTCTTTTTTTAAATTCATTTTTTTCCCTTAAAAGTATCTTTACATAAAGCAGATCACTATCAAATGACCATTAAAGCTTTTAAGACAAATCATACAAACTGACAGTGTGTAATATAAGCACATTGAATGCTTGCCTTATAATTCTAAAGTACTCGAAAAAACAATTATTGAAGATGTTTTAGTGAACAATCAGAATCATTTAACATTGAAAAATTAATGTAAAACTAAGCACTGTATAAAAAAAGAAAATCTAAGACTGACCTCTATTTTCTTTAAAATGTGCATGATTCTTCAAAAAATTATTTAAAGTGTATAAAGATATATATCTGATGCAAAAATTATTGTTTGGATTTTAAAAAAGAATACTTTCAATATCTTTGTATGAAATAAAAATGGCAATAAATTGCCTTAAAGTGGTGCATGCACAAAGTCATATTATTCTGTTTATGTACATTTTTCATGTGTGTTACATGTAAATAACAAACATTTTATGTTGGGAATCAGCCATATAAATTATAATAATGGAACCAATATAATTTTACTGTTGATAAATTAAAAAAAATATTTCATAAGATATATAGATTTATACTCTTTTATCATCTCCACTTATAACCAATGCTTTTGCATTTTATTTTTAATAACATCCGTTGCTCAAAAATTTGTGTATGTATTTCTTTAATCTACACAATTTTAAGACTTTTTGGAACACAGTTGTATAGCAACTGTTTGGAAGAAAAAGATTTAATCTGTACAAAAATATCATGATATAGATCTAAAAGTAAATACCTTTTACTCTAACTTCAGCAGATTGCATGTTAAATGTACTGGCGGTTGCCGATGTATCTGATGTTGGCGTGTACGTTTGTTCTCTATCCGGTACAGTGTAAGCTTGTTCGCGCTCCACTGCTGCCGTGTATGCCGCCAGCTGGTCTCGTTCTGATGTCACATGATGCATGCTCATATCCTGTGCTGTGTTTTGCACAGCATCAACCTCATTGCTCAATTGTGTACTTGGAGGAAATGTTTGAGTTCTCAAAGCTTCAAATGCTTCTAATGTTGATGTTATGTTTTGCGATCTTAAAGATTCCGGTATGCTCTCTGTATCCAAGCGGTGCATCCTTGCCAACATATCCATGCTGGAGTGTAATGGTGGCAGGGCAGCTGTTGATTCTGCCGCTGCCGTACGAGTTGCACTGATTGGTGACTGTTGACGAGATTTCTTGGGGTACGGAGGTGGAACAAATGCATTTGTTTCATCTGTTGTGGTGTCAGCTTTACGTCGGCCAGTTTTGCCAGTGGATGATGATGGTGTAGCGGTTTCCACAATACCTGAAGCCTGAGCCGATTGTTTCAAGCTTCTATTTACAGCTGCGATCTGACTTTCTAGCACTGCTATTTGAGACTCTACCTCCGCGGTTGTCAGAGATTCCTTACCTGATGCGAGAGAAACTGGTAATGACATGGATAATCCTTGATCTATGCTCTGTCTGATATGCTTTGGTGAAAGGTGTGAGATCGGTGGAATCCGCTGGGTTCCTGATTGATACCCAGCGTACTGGGCCAATGAATTTGATTTTGCGTAAGCTTCTGTAGTTGAGATCGGTGGAGAAGACTTCTGAAATGATTCAACTGGCAGAGGGGGCCGAACCTGAGATGCTGTCGAATATGCAGGTGACACTGAGGGAGATACAACTGTAGAGTTCACAGTTGACACTGTATATAATGTACTAGCACTAGTGGTCACAAATGATGCTACAGGTTCGTATGTTGAGGTAATCTGTTGTAATGATGGTCTAAGGGATGCCATAGCGTGAGCTGTGCGCGGGGAGAGAGGAGGGGGAGGTATCGGTGGCACTGTGGGTGATAGGTCCTTGTCACCCTGGGCAGCAGCAGCTTGTGCCTGAGCCTCCTTTTGTTGTTGCTCCAAATAATCAGCACTAGCTCTCAGCCATTGAGGAGTGTCATTTGGTGTGTTATCTAAAAAGAATTTACAAATTTGGTTAATTAAAGCTGCATAAAATCTAATGAAGTGGCAGAAGTGCACTGTTATCTTATATATTTCCTTATTATCGTAACAAAAAGTATCTTGTATGATATAGGTAAACTATCAAATTACAAATTTGTAAATGAAAGAATAAAGACTGTACATGTACACTGTCACTCCAAAGAAATATTTCCAAATGAAATACACTATTCTAATTACTACATAACATGTATTACATTGCAAGCATTCACTCAACATCATATTTATTACTGGTATATGAAAGAAATGTACACAGGGTAAAATCAGAAATTTAATTTTATATAACATAGGATTATAATAAAATCGCTTATAAAAGGAAGGAAATTTAATCATGTATTTGTGAAGACTTTTGCTCAAGACAATTATTGACTAACAGGGCTCGAATTTAACTTTTTTGGCCACTAGCAATTTTTGGCTAGTGGACAAATTTTTAACTAGCAAAAACTGAATTCAACTAGCACTTTTAACGACAATGATTTTTTAATTCCAAAAGAAATTTAATTATTTGATGTGCTGAAAGACAAAGTTGTTGCTGGATATAGAGAATAACAAAATTAAAATTTTTATTTATTTGGACGAGTTCGAACTGCCCGGGGTACGAATCAGCAACGTAACTTTCTACTCAAAATTTGATATAGGGGACAGGGATTCTAATCAAATGTCAATATACATGTAAAAAAATAATAATGCAATATTGTCGCCATACCGACGATGTATGGTCTGGATTATGCGCACAACAATCGGCACAAAATATTTTGGCAACATTTCCATCGTCATTGAGTTCGTACGTAAGACTGATGTGCAGTTCTTTCTCCCATTTTTTAAACATTTTAACTGAAGGTCTGATTGTCTTTCTTTTGATAGACTGTGAATCATCTTCTGTACTCAAGAGTATTGTTATCGGTAGACACATTTGCTTAATAAGTGGGAAGAAGTTCGTTATTTTTCGTTTAGACATTTTATTCTGATCATGCTTGATTTACACGGACAAAATGACATTTGGACTGGTTTTAATTTGTGTACTTTTTTAAGCGAGGTTAAGGTATAGAAAATGTAAACCAGACAGCAAGTGCGTGCATAGTTTATAACTCGGCTACCTGCGAATATTACGCCCCATTTATATTTCGGATTTTCCTGACGAGTGTATTCCTTTTTACTTCAACTCGCAAAAAATTGCGAGTAGTCATAAATCTAACTCGCAAAATCATTTTTCAACTAGCATTTTGCGAGTTTGCGAGTGTTAAATTCGAGCCCTGACAAATAATAATCAGACTTGAATATATTATATATTTTACTTAAATGTGAAAAATCATATAGAAATAGCATACTATATGCCTTGAAATTCATAATAAAAACAAAATTCGACATACCCAGTCCCTTAACCCTTGTAACATAAGACACAGTGTCTATTCTAGGAGGGGGGGATTCGCTCTTATTTTTGAGAATTCCCCCATTTTTTCAGAGGCAGGGGGAAAATTTTACATAAAGAAAGAAGGAAAAAGATCAACAAATGTAATAAATTCTCACTCTTCATTAACAATCCCCCTTGTTATTTGAATCCAAGAATAGACACTGAAGACTTACCCATAATCATACGCCCAAACACCTTGTACTCTGCAACCTTGATGTCGAGCCACATGACAAAGTGTGACAGGGTCCATGGTTGCACCTGGGATAACAGGTTACTAAAGTCTTTCTTTACAGAACCCAAGTCCATCATTGATTACATGTGTTCCTGAAATATATTATAAATACATGTTCATATATAATGTATAAATACATATATGAATGTGAAATAAACATATTGTAACTAGTATTCCTGTCCCATATTCATTATATTGATGAATACCATGCAGATTTTTTATTTCATACAAGAGTGCATTAAATTACTTTTAAAAAATTTTCAACTTATAAATTGTTCCAAATTTTTCCATCTCATACAAAGAATTACATTTATAAAATGTATATATGGGTTTTCTGAAACGAGAAAGTCATGTTGGCTTTTATTTACTAACCAATATGAAAACCCTTTAAAAAAACAGTGAAATTATTTCATCTGACAGTTGGTTCATCGATAAAATATTACAAAAAGTTTGGGTTTTTCTTCTTCTTTTATTTCTAATGTCATGTAAACAATGTCATAAAAGTTATTATGAACACAAATAACCAGACAAATCTTATAAAAAGGGCTATGAAATTAAAAGTTTTTTTCATCAACTTTAAACCCTTGAAGAATTCAGAGCATTTTATGACTCAATTTGATATAGAGCCATTCAAGGATTTTATATTAATTCATGTTATAATTGCTATTTAGAGTAGATAACAGCGTTTTATCCTTAGCATGTAAGGTATTTTATTCATTTTTATAAATTACTTTTCATCCAGAAACATCATTTTACCTCAATATACACACATGTTTAATCAAGAAAAAAAATGTACATGTTACTCAACGTTTTATCAAATCTGATTTCATATATCTGTGCTGTGTCTTTTCACATTGAACAGTAAAACAAAACTATAAAGTTTTACTATACACTTCAAAGAAATAATATTAAGATTTAAAGATAAGGCTAATGAAATATCAGAATAAAAACATTACTTTAAAAGGCTACAGTTAGAACAAGTTTGTGTTTTTCTGATACTGAAGTTAAATAATAAAATACATAAACAGCACACTTTCCACTTATCTTTAGAACAAATATATGATCATCAGGCTAAAGGTTAAAAAAATGTAAATATTATATATGTATATATATTGCATTTCCTTTAGTTAAGTGGAAATTGTCATCGACCAAAGTTTAAAAAAGTTTTCATATCTCTTTAACATCTTTAACCCTTTCCCCCATGAGCATATTGTGAAAAATGGCCGTTTTCACTGAAAAGCCTCCTGTTACAATTTCAAACTGCTGTGAAACTATGAAAAATGCTTCAATACTAATTAAACTTGGCACAAATGTTGACTGAACCATTGCCTTTGTAACGACATGCTCAGTCTTAAATTTCCTGTTACCATGGCTGGCAACGAGGGGACATCTCAAAATTGCCAAAAAACACTATTTTGCCTCGATTTCTTCCATCAAAATTTATTTCAAAGTGCTGCAACTTCTCAAGGGATTGAGATAGAGTCAAAAGCTTTTCAGCGTTGGTTACACGTTACATTATGATCGACCTGGGGTCATTTTTAGCCTATCACAAGTCCAAAATTTTCTTGGCGATGAGGGGGACTCCGCCCCCCTTCAAACCCCCCTAACAGAAGGGGGCACATCCCCCTTCTGGCAACCCCCTGATGTATCTTTTAGATGGGGGGCGGCGCTGAAAAAGTGCTCAATTTTTTTAGCAACATTTCTCAAACGAAATCATGTGTTTGGGGCCCAAATAGGACATTTATTCACTCTTTGAGGCCTAAAAAGGGGGGGGGTCGAAAGTGCGTTGTTTCGCGTATATATGGGGTAAAGAGTTAAACCAATTATGTTCATATGTAATACAGCTTATGAGGGAGTAACACAATAGTTTACTGTCTAACAGTTTTAGTGTAGGTTAAATTGAGTAACCCATACATTAACCTATAACCTATGATATTGTGCATCAACTTGTACAAAATGATTTGGTACATTAAATGTACATTAAAACAAAGGCACACTGACCCTAAGAACTGAATACATTTTTTCCTCTTTAGAAAGAGTAAACATGTGTTTTATTATGGATTTATCAGATGCAGAATCCTGTATCAATATACAATATACTATTAAAACGCCAACATTGTACTTGGATGCAAAATATAATGATGGTTTCATAAATCTTGCTCCAACACAATAAAAAGTTCAAAACCCAGAATTATTGATAAAAGGGGCATTACTTCCAGACTTCCCGAAAGTTAAAAAAAAGTGTCAGACATTCGGTCTGACAAACCATGAAAATCTGAAAACGAGATCTCTTAGACTGAATAAAATTAGTCAAAATCAAAGGAAAATTTGTATTTGTATTTCTAAGACACTTTTAGGTTTTAATTTTTTCGCCGTAAAAATCTGCACAGTCCATACAGCTCATTTTCATCTCCTCCCTGTCATACACCAACGACTCACGGTCCTGCTTCCATTTTTCAATAAATTTTGTCTCAGATCTATTTTCTATTCTTTTCATCCTTTTACTGCTGTACTGCGGGCTACGCTGATGTAGATTTTCGTTTTTCCCACGTTTGGCGCTTTAGCGACGCCATTTTGTATACATGCTACTTGGATAAAAGCCAGACAGTCGGACCGATCTGGAATAATAAATCGTGGGACCTAATCAAAATTTATCGGACATGTCTGTCGGACCAACGTATTTCGGGAAGTCTGTACTTCTAAAATGTTGCTTTCAGAATTATGCCCCTTGTTGTCTAACAATACATCAGTATTCAGATTTTGTGTTTGTAACTTAAAATTGTTACAAGTGGGCTACATTAAAGCTTATGCACAATTAAAAAAGCACTTATCTATCAACATATTGTTTATAATAGCCAGAATGACTCAATGTGATGCTTACCTCTAAACAAACAAGCTAAAAAAAATTTATGCATTTCCTTAGACGTGAACCGATTACTCACATTAGACAGACTGCGATTAAGTGACGATTTGAGAAAACAATTGTCATGGCCATATTTCGATTCATTGCCACCAATTTTGCAAAATATCTCCATTCTAGTAATATTTAAAGCGGTGCTTTTTTTATTGTTTATGCAATCAAATCAGAACGTATGTAATGTATACACTAAAAAGTAAGACATGATCAGTCTGCGAAATAACTTATTTAGATCATAGGCCATTTAGGCCTTCAACCTAGGCAAAAGTATAGGCTTGGACAGATTATCACAGTTTCAAAACATGATTGTGCAAAATAAAGATAACAGTTTATTTTATGTTTCATTCACATCAACAAGGTTCAATTTAGGCACTAATGCATGGAAAATCAGACGGTCACTTTTCAATAAAACTCTCTTTTTCTGTTCTTTATATAGACAATACATGTATTCTTCTTTTCACGTAAATCTTCTCCTTTAAAATATGAAAACAAGTATCAACAAAAAGCAAGCATTGCATTCATTGAATGCATCCTCTAATTAAACAAAACCACACAGTTTAACTCCCGGTTTTGCTTCAGACGTGTAATGTAGGTGTAATGTAGCTGTTCACTAATCTAAATGGGTCAATCTAAAAATAAATGTATTTGACAGACAGTTACAATAACTTGTTCTTTAACCCACAAATATTTACGTTTTTTCTCGAGCATTGTCCGTACATTTACGCTTATCAGTAGCTGAAGTAGATAAATATAGATTATGCATAATTAAATGACGTATTACGTAAATCTTACTTGATGTACATAGACTGATGACGTATTACACGACAATTTCGGAAAAATATTGAAACTGAAACTAATTTTGTATGAAAACACTGAATTTAAACGCCCGTCGGCCTTAAGATATTTGGATTTTTGCAGGCCCAAATTGGATTTTGACATGCCTCGCGTATCGGCATGTGCCTTATTTTCACAGACTGCATGATTTTTAAATAAGACACCTCTTAAAATTAATGGCCCGAGTTTACAAAAAGGAAGTTACTAATTGAATCACAAAGTAACAATCGAGAATTAAATAAAGAGATGCATCCCTAGTTTTTATGTGCATTTTTTCAAGGAATTTTTTGTATGATGATATTTAATCATTTAAAAATTAATAATTTCATTTAATCCGAAAAGAATAAAAACATACAACATAGCAATTACATTTACACGGCATTTAGAATTCCCCAAGAGCTAACGCCTGGAAGGTAAAGAAAATGGTGTTAAGCAAGGTTTTCAAATTTGTAGATTATAATTTAAATAATGACCCAGTTGCTCATAACTTCTTATTGGGCAGCATCTTTACATTATAATAAAAATTACATAGCTTAAACAAACAATATCTCAATTAACTATTTTACTAGACTAATTACTTGGACTATACATAATGGTAACATTATTGAAGTTTTAGCTGTATGTGAGAACATAGCCTATTCACAGTACACTCTGCATAAATTTTTATCTTGTCTAGATCTATCTATCTGCCGTTAAACGGTAAATGTCAAAATAAATGCAAAAAGATATTTTGTGAGCCAATGTAAATTCTGAGTTATTGACAAGTAACAATTATTAAAAATACTTTGTCAACACTGTAAATTGACCCGAAAGCATTCTTATGCAATTGTTGAATAACAGGTTTCTTATTTTAATAGAACTTCAACAACCATAAATTTAGCTTCAGTTCCAGTTTGACAACATGACCTATAAAACAAACATTTTACAAATATCACAAAACAAACACTTTTGACAAATGTACTGAAACTTTCACTCAATTAATCAGACTTTCTATCATTCCTTAATATAGTTGTCAAGGCAGAGAATATCTTGATTTGTAAATGAAACAGGAATTTTCTCTTTTATTTGACGTTTTTTACTCTAGGGAAAATGACAGAACATTGGACGACAACTGAAAAATATTCAATATATACGATTGCATATGGTATAATTTGTAATAAGCAATATACCTTCATGTGTGTAAAAGTTGTACACCTTACATATTATGCATAAATTAATCAATAAAAGGGAGAAAAACAACGCTAAATTTACAAAGCCTGCTTTGTTCAAAATCGCCGGAAGTAGCTCGCACCTGCTACATGTCCCGAATACTTAAAATTAATATTGTTGTCGTCACAAACCAGCCTCCTAAAAATGACACAAAATGCCCGGAAATGTGTCAGGAATCTTTTTAGGGTATCTTTCCTCGTATTCTACGACCGTATTTATAATAATTGAATTGAAATGCCGGCGCCATTAAATTTTTCTCCTAGTTAGCTATATGTTATTATATTTAGTTACATTATGTACAGAAAAAAGAAGGCACTTGCTCTTACGGTACTGAACAAGACGAGAACTGACCGGGGAACGTGGGGTGTCATCATAAACACAATGTTTCTTTTAATTTACCGGCAATCCTTCAATAAGATAGCCATGTTCCAGGTCAATATTTTATTGATAGATCTTAATCTCTAATAACACGTCTGCAGTTGAACCCATGATAATACCATACGGAAGAAAAATCTCCCTTTTTCAATTGTTTCTTTTCCATTGTAGTACATTTTAGTTTAAAAAATGTGTGTTTCCAATATAAATCTTTTAAAAAATCTGATTAAATTGGCAGTAACTTATCGTTCAAAAATTTTTCCCACATGCATGCAGAGACATATTAAGTGCTGTATACACATGTACGTAATATGTTATGAAAATCTCATAATACATGTACATTTAATATATAACTGTTTTAGGCTCGTTTTTAGCGAACAACCGTTTATACATGAGCAAATATAGCCTGTCCAAAGTTTGTAACACATTTAAAATGGTGTGTAACTGTTTTCTCTGCGTGTTCGTGCCGCGCGCAGTAATATGCTAAGGGTCATATCTATAAGAAATAGTCACAAATGTTGTAAGTCGAATGTAAGTGAGAGGTTGATATTTAAAAAGTCTATTCGATTCAAACTTTATCAGTTCAACATTTTCAAAGTAGTGATAGGTAAAATTATTCCATTCTCTTCATTTTATTTCAATATGTATTGATGAGGTGTCTGATAAAGCTGAGGGTGACTGATAAAGCTAAATCTACCAGGCATGTAATTTATCACCAGAAATCAAAATAATGACATGATAAATCATAGTATTGCAGCAGCCGTGCATATAAATGTTTTCTGCATCGTAGATTGTTTAATTACTAATGTACACGAAATTTGATAATTGCGTTTTGTTTTATGGCATATTTCTCGATTGACTTTACTAAAATAGTTAAAAGTTACAACGCTTTGATTACTATTAACTTGATTTTCTTTGTTGGCCTAAGCGTTTCTAGCGGCTGACGTCATCTTTACGTGTGTCTTTGCTGTGTGTTTTTTTACTCACGAGGCAAAAGTAATATCTTCACACTTTACATTTTGTGTCATTTTAAACAAGGACAACTCATATTACAAAACATGTGTGTCATTCTGCGGGTGAATATCACATCATATTTAATGACCCGCTACTGAATAAATATAATTATGCTTTTTTGATAGTAGTGTTATTTGTGAACTTATCGTCATAAGAATTTGCTTGATTTGAAATTGGTTATATACAACTTATTGCTCACAGGATAAACGTGCCGAGATAAATCACGGCTAGCGCCTCGGGCCACACATGTATTTATCTTATTCAGGCTTGATTATTGATCCCTTAATTTTAGGGATCACATTGCTCCAAATCCTAATTTTTATAGCGTTTAAGGTAACTATATATGGTGCAGGGACGAATGTATAACATATGAAGCAATGTATTTTTAAAGACAATGTTATACAAGAATACAACTTGTTGAAACATTTATAGATATACCAAATATGTTCAACATTTCTTTTTTTATATAAATGATCTATATTTTAAAAAGCCTGTTTCAAGAATAAGGTCTTTGGTGCAATAACCTATAATCTCACATCCCTTTTAAATTATAGTGTACAGACTTTTTGTACTCCCAACAATGAATATGACTGGAAAAAATGTATCAAAAGGTTAATGAAATTTACGATTTTTATCACTGACCATGGGCTTTGTAATTCAGTGCATTAGCTTAAGAATATGCTAGGTGAATTTTCAAATTCTTTGGAAGTTAAAACTAAAATAATCAAAATAGTAATACAGTTCAAGACCTCAATTAAATGAAAAATATTATCTTATAAAAAAAACGAAAATTTTCTGTAATCGATATAGATTCAGAATGACAGACAGTAGGGTGAGTTTTTGAATATTGACTATCAACTATCGTTATTGACTATTGACTATGAATTCCTTGCCGTCGTAATTGTGTAATATTGAAAAAAATCCAAATTATTTATTTCAATTTATTGCTTGAATAAAATTGAATTGAAAACTGGTTTTTGATTTGTAGAATGATAACTCGTATTTATAGACATGTCATGTATATATGTGTATCAAAAAATTAACAGAGATTTAACTTAAATGTGATACACCCATGTATCCCATAAGAAAAAAAAACACATTAAAAATTTAATTGCTTCAGAGAGATTGGTTCATTCGAAACAAAGCTGAAGGAACTTTCGAAAATACTCTTGTCAACAACATATTAGGAGGAAAGTTCATCTCCTTTTGATTTTAGCAAAATTCTTGATAAAACGGATCACCTTAAATTGTTCCATACCTTTTGAATGTTGGCTCATCACAAATTCTCAACCAGACACGTTCCTTCCTAATTGGCCGTAGTCAAATTGTTGTGTTGAACACTCCAGAGAAGTCCTTGTAAATTCTGATCTTCCCCGGTTTTTTGTCCTTGTCAAATTCTGCTTGCATATTTATATTAATGAACTTCCTTCTTCTGTCTCCATGTCTCAAAGTCACCAAGTCTCAAAGTCATCAAAGATTTCCACCACTAGTAACTTACAATCCATTATTATACCCGAAAGCCATCGATAACAAACATGCAGGAACAATATCATTACCGGCGTTCCTTTGAGCATCACATGCTTTAATAAAACTTTATTTGGTTAGTATATTTTTCTGGTGCTTCGGGATAATTAATTTCAACATTTTAGACTGTTCAAAATTGAGTACCGCTCAAGCTGATGCTAGTGGGCGTGAGAGATGTTGCACTTTTTCATTATACCTCATTATACTAATTCAAACCGAGTGTGCAATATTCATGTAATTTTGTTGTGATTAATGCTTCCGAGGTATCACATTTTGTCCATATTTTTATACTTCACTACAGCAGGTGTCAAGTGCTGTGTGACAGCTGTTAAAAGTTGCTCCGTACTTAACGTCAGTGTTGTTGTATTTCTCTAGTCCTTCGGGTTAATTGATTCCAACATTTATAAATGTTGAAAATTTAGTACCGTTCAATTCGGTGTTAGGGGCGTGAGGGATATTGCATGTTTTTCGTTATCCCTCGTGTACAGTCTTAATCAAACCGAGTCTGCAATGTTCATGTAATTTTGTTGTGATTAATGGTTCAGAGGAACCACATTTTGTCCTGAATTTCAACTAGACTTATTATGTTTTTCAAAATCTCAACCTAGTAACCACTATATAGACTTCATCATACAATTAAACTCTATCAAGACTTACTTGACATATGAACCTCTTTGTCTTAGTATTAAAGACCATAAGTTTCGCCCCACCCTTCAATTGTTTCACACTTTTGGAACAAGCTGTTCTTGAAACATTAAAGTATAAGTTTCCTTGTTGTGTAAGAACAATTTTCTCAGTGACTTGAATTATTTCAAAGTCTATCACTATATCCTATTTATTTTCACCAGTTTCGTGGACAGTAACTTGCAATTTCCAGTACCGTTCATGGACAGGCTCAATGAAACCGAGTCTGCAACATTTTCAGTTTTTTTTTGTTTATGGGGGTTATTTAGGGATTCTGTTTTTCTCTTTTTTAACACCATTTTCTAAAAATGATCTTCTTTTTCTGATGAAGACTAAATGGCAAAAGCTAAGAAAAGCGTTCGTGTTTTTTATTGTACAGATGCTAATTTTCATGAAAATTTAAAATGCATTAAAAGGTAAAATATTGCCAATTGAACATTGCAAGCAGCCCTTTCAATCCATGCAAATTATAAAATAAAGGTCAAAACAAGGTCCATACTGCGTTAGTCACACTACAGAAATATGGTAATAGATATTGCATTATATACTGCAAAATCAGTTATTCGTTACATTTAAAATGTAAAAAAAATACTTGAATTGAAAATATGTTGTGTTAAACAAAGGCATGTAATATGCAGCTGGCTTAACAAACTGTTGGACAGAAAAATAATCATATCATATACGCGAGGACGGTCAGAAAATATCCGGACTTTTCATGCTCCTCTCTTTCCACATGCAGCTATATACACACATTATATATTGGTGAAAACTACATTCATTCGCCAATAACGTGGTCAGTTTATTTTCAATGATAGTTATGTATACACAGTATTTTGCCCTCTAGCTGATATATGATAGGTGTTTCGTCTATCATGGGCTGTTTGTTAGAGGAACAACGCTCTGTAATAAAGTTTCTGGTTGCAGAGGGTGAAAAGCCCTGCCACATCTTTCAGAGGCTTAAAACAAATTTCTGATAAATGTGTATCACGTTCAACCTTCTACAACTGGGTTTCTCAGTTTCGTGAAGGCAGAACAAGTGTTTGTGACAGGCCTAGGACTGGGCGGCCAGCTGAGGCGGTGAACCCAACAATGGTAGCAAATGTTAAAGCTTTTGTTAACAAAATTCGTCGAGTAACTTTGGAGGAGGTAGCCAACAAGTTTAGCATCGGTAAGGCATCGGCACATAAGATTTTACACGAACACATAGGCATGAGCAAGGTAAGTGCCAGGTGGGTGCCTAGACATCTGTCCGCAGATCGAAAGGCAACCAGAGTAACCAATGCAAAAGAACATTTAAGTCGTTTTAATCGTGAAGGAGATATGTTTTTGAACCGCATTATCACTGGAGATGAGATGCGGGTTCATTATTCCGAACCTGAGACAAAAGCTCAGTCAAAGCAGTGGAAACGAGCTGGTTCCCCACCTCCTAAAAAGTTTAAGCTGTCTCCTTCGGCTGGCAAAGTCATGCCTGTTGCCTTTTGGGATTCACGAGGAATGATACTTACTCATTTCATGCCAAAAGGTCAAACTGTCAACGCCAAGTACTAGTAATTCTGAAAAATCTCAGAGAAAAGCTGAAGCAAATGCGTCCCAGGTTAGCACAGAAAAATGTCCTCCTTCTTCACGATAACACCCCCTCCCATACCGCCGCAGCTACAGTGGAGGTTATCAACTCTTACAAATGGCAATTGTTGTCTCACCCTCCTCGCCCAGACCTCGCCCCCTGTGACTTTTATTTGTTTCCAGAACTGAAAAAATTGCTTGCTGGAAAGAAATATAAGATCAGGGCGGCTTTGATATCTGCTGTTACACAGTACCTAAAAATAGGTCTACGTCATGGTTCACAGCGGGAATACAAAAGCTCCCACGAAGATGGCAAAAGTGAGTAGACGTAGGTGGAGAATATTTTGATCAGTAGAAAGATTTTTTAAAATGTTGAATGGTTTTCGAGAACGAGTCAAAAGTCCGGATATTTTCTGACTTCCGCTCGTATAAAAGAATACAATTATGACTACCGGTATGTAAAATAAACAAGAGTAAGAGACCAATACCCATTAACAATGAAACAAACAGGAACAGAAACGGAGAATGAAAAGTATTATCTAAATTTTAATATATTATTCTTTTTTACAAAACAGAGAACGTTTAGTAGTATTGTTTTATCACAACTTTTCATTAATCTGTCAAGTTAAAAATATTGAATGAACATAAAAAAACTTGAAAGAAGAAATTTACGCCTACAATGTCATTAAACTATGTACATTCAAATAAGTAGTGAAATTCATTATGGATACTGGGAGAGGACATTTATAAGCTTTATAGCTTTCTGCCCAATCCCAAAATGTACTTTGTAAATATTGTTCACTTGCTAAAGTTTTGTTGAATAAATATGTTTAAACCAACTGGATACACAATTTGGTAATAATTATATCAAAGCACCTTATATTGTCTCATACAATGTATACCGAAATGTTTTCTACCGAAACGTATAGCGACCACCCCTATATGTTAGTTAAAACAGATCTTTTGACAATTTATTTAATATAATATCATATTTTTACCAGCTTACTAGATCTGAAATATTTATAGTATAAAACTATAAAAAAAAAAGTCTTTTGATATATATTATATAGGGATGGTCGCTATACGTCATTTTATATTAAACTGTAATGTACTTTTTGTCTTAATGGAGACAAGCAGCTTTAATTTCATGTTAAAATTAATCATGTCTAATTATGTTGTTTGGATATTTTAAAGTTTCCATGCGCCGATGTATATTAAAGGATTGCAGTGAACGAGTATGTTATGTCAACTAACACCTCCATTGTCCGAGCACGTGTATGCTTGCTCCTTATTAGTAAAGGTGTTTCAATGTATGATGAATGGCTACCGCTACGTCTTTTTATTTTAATCAAATCATAATAAAATGGCCATATCTTACAGTACAGGAAAGTAAAAAATAATAAATAATAAAATGATAAACATGTTACATTAAGCTCACTTTTATGAAGTTTTATTTGAATATTTAATCTGTGAGGACAAACTATATTCTATGCAATGGAGAATATCTGATTTTTAAAAGTACCTTAAACAACTGGATAATTATTTAGGGGTTGATCTCATCTTTGAAATGAAATCTGATTTGATTTCGGTATTGCAACACATTCGGTATGATAACATATATTTCGGTTCGTGACAAATCAGGGAAGTTATCTTGATATTTAGTTATTTGTTTCTAATTTCATTATAAATGATTATTTCGAACTGATTTTTTGCATGAAAGTCAAACTAAACCTATTGTAATAGATTATAATGAAAAAATATAATAGAACGCTTAATTATGATTTTCCAAGTCGATTTCGGTATTGTAACATATATTTCGGTTCGTGACAAATCAGGGAATAATCTTGATATTTAGTTATTTGTTTCTAATTTCATTATTAATAATTATTTCGAACTGATTTTTTGCATGAAAGTCAAACTTAACCTATTTTATGCTTTCCAGTGTTTTATTGTAATATATCAGATGATTATATTCTGATAAACCACTAGTGAAATTTATAAAATATAATTTTCACTGTAGCCGAACTATATCTGAATGCGGATGAACAGAAAATCATAACTAAATGGAATAACAGGCAGAAATAAATGCCGTCTTTCGTAAATTTTGCTTCTTTAAGAAAAGAAAGTCAATGTTATCATACATCATGTTAGAAATTTAACAAAATTAGAGAAATTTAACGGAACTAGATTTCAAAACTGATGATGTGACGTCATGATATAATGACGTCACAAAGGAGATGCGCGACGTTATGCGGCAAAATCAGTAAAAAAAAATAGCTTAAAATCAATTAAAAACATAAAATAAAAAGAAAATTTATTTGTTTTACATATAAGATTGAAATATATTTCATTCGTGAACACCAGCTATTATATTTTCACTCGTGGCTACGCCACTCGTGAAAATATTGCATCTGGTTTTCACTCAGTGAAATTATATTTCAATCTTACATGCAAAACAAACAAATATCCTCTATGTAATATATTATAATGAAAAAAATAGAATAAAACGCTTAATTGTGATTTTATAAGTTGATTTCGGTAATGAAAAGTTGATTTCGGTAACTTTACCGAAATCAAGTACCGCCTAAAACTATGATAAATTTCATTTCGCGAAATGAATTTCATTTCGCATGTCTGCTAAGTCATGTGATCTGAAAAATACGTCATAACCAAAACAATCGAGTGATCCAAATCAATTCGCGTATTTCGCTTCCTGTTTACGAAAATGGCAAGGGATATTTTTCTACTTTTGTTATTAAACTTTGTTGGTTATTCGTTGACATTTAGTTTCAAAGACATTGGAAAGTCTATTCATATAGCAGAAAGCTTGAGGGAAAAGGACACCACTTCCAGGACATTGAATTATGTTATGAAAGAGAAAAATGTTGTTGAGAAAAATATTCCGCATTTTGTGCAAGATGCTCTTAATGATGTAAAAAGTTCTCGGTACAGAAGAGCTGTTGAAAACGGATTAAAACCAAATAGCTCATCGGTAGGTATTTCTAGAAGATATATCATGTAACAAATTTTTCTTCTATTTATAATAAGTTTGCAACTACTAAGTACTGTACGGATATTGCAAAATTATTGTTAAGACATGTAAAATTTAAACTGTACTGGCATGCGAGCAGTTCCCGTACAGAAGCAGTACCTGTATTTTTCATTTAAACGCATAAAAGAGACAAAATCTAAGTGTCAGTTCGGCAGTATGTATAAAAGTCTCATTTTAAATCACTTTCACCTGTGCGTTGTCAAAACGTGACCTTGTTTTCTCTGGGGGATTCCGTCCTTGCGCGCATGCGCTAAAATACTTACACGTGAGGCCTGTTAAAGCGTTTTCCACTAATACCACCTGTTACAGATAAGTAGGCAATGTGATGAAAACTTGTTTAATTATCAGAATTTTGATCAATATTACTATATTAAATAATTTTATGGCTTTGATGCGTAAAATATCATGCATTCAAGCATGCCATTGTATGAGAATGCGTTGGGGTAACGGTACCGTGTAATAGATACCAGCGTTTAGTCTACGCTCTATTTCCTGAATTACATCTATTTATCTCTTAGAAAATGGTCTGTTCAACAATTATAATTGAAAAATAGGTCCGATATAACAAAATTGTATAATTATAATGGGTTAAATTTTATGTACGGGAACTACTTCTCTTCATACAAAATAATGGATAATTTCGGTACCCCATATGAGGCCTCATAACTAAGGGTTATTCTATGTTTAGAACATGATGGAATTTCCATGATTTGTGTGACGAGCCAACTAGTGATGTGTAACATTCAAATTTTGGTGAGTGAGCGTAATAAAAAATAATGTTTAAGTAACTACGATTTTTGTACGGGAACTGCTCGCATGCCAGTACTGTATAATTACAGTACACGAAATAGCTTAAGGTCTTCAGCATACCCGTTTATATACAACTATGACATGACGTGAACGCTGAAGACAGACCCCTAGGGTAAATCCACCAATAATCATGTCAGGAATCTGACACGCTCGTATAGTGACATATACATTCATCGAACATGCCATGAATTAAAGTAAAGCATACCTTGATATTAATATGTATAATCTGTTGATAAGCCAAGGATTGACACATTGAAATATTATCATGAACATAAACTACCTAGTAGTTTCAGACAGGTAAAAAATTCAGCAGATCCCTTGGCCGCCATATTGCCAACATGTTTGACCACATGATTATGAGATTAACCTTTATGGGACGGTAGAATGATCCATCCATGTGCTTCCAACTTTTAAATTATAAATTACTTTTTTATAAAGATATTGAAAAAGGTGATTTACTGACTTTTAGATTCAATTTGAATATAATGATATTTAAGTACTAAAAACTTAAAGAAAATAAATAAAAACATTGACCAATGACGTCATACAAGGTCATGGCTGACTGTAGTCGGTGTAATTGATGTTTCACAGTTAAATAGGCAATTTTAATGACAGTATTAATATTTTGATACTTTAAATGGTATAGCACGATATTAAAATAATTGTTTTATCGCAAAATGCACAAGAATTGATTTGGTCAAGGGTATTTGCAAATTAAAAATAAGGTTATTAAAATCAACTTATGTTATTCTGGCCAGGTTTCGTAACGGGTCTAATCCAAAACTTTAATTCCGCATCAGATGAAAAACAAAAATATTAAAAAGCGGCATATAAAGTTTTGGAAGCCAGAACTAAAGTCTTAACACAAATTAGATAAAATAGAAAACTATTGATAACAAAGTCTTCATATTTCACATATTGATTGGTCATAACTAGTAGATGACCCCCTATTGATTTTGGGGTCACTATGTCAAAGGTCAAGGTCACAGGGGCCTTAAATGTTAGAATTGTTTCAGCTCATTATCTTGGTTACTATTTATTACAAAGTCTTCATATTTCACATATTGATTGGTCATAACTAGTCAATGACCCCTATTGATTTTGGGGTCAAAGGTCAAGGTTACAGGGGCCTTGATTGGTAGCATGATTTCTACTGATTATCTTGGTTACTATTTATCACAAAGTCTTCATATTTCACATATTGAGTGGTCATAACTAGTTGATGACCCCTATTGATTTTGGGGTCAAAGGTCAAGGTCACAGGGGCCTTGATTGGTAGCATGATTTCTACTGATTATCTTGGTTACTATTTATCACAAAGTCTTCATATTTCACATATTGAGTGGTTATAACTAGTAGATGCCCCCTATTGATTTTGGGGTCACCAGGTCAAAGGTCAAGGTCACAGGGTTCATAAATGTTAGAATGCTTACCGCTCATTATCTTGAAAGCTGATTAGCACAAAGTCTTCATATTTCACATATTGATTGGTCATAACTAGTTGATGACCCCAGGGTCACTTGATCAAAGGTTAAGGTCGCAGGGGCCTTGATTGGTAGTATGATTTCTGCTGATTATCTTGGTTACTTTTTATCACAAAGTCTTCATATTTCACATATTGAGTGGTTATAACTAGTAGATGACCCCTATTGATTTTGGGGTCACCAGGTCAAAGGTCAAGATCATAGGGGCCATATTTGTTAGAATGCTTTCTGCTCATTATCTTGGTTACAATTTATTACAAAGTCTTCATATTTCACATATTGATTGGTCATAACTAGTAAGTGACCCCTATTGATTTTGGGGTCACCAGGTCAAAGGTCAAGGTCACAGGGTCCTTGAATGGTAGTATGATTTCAGCTCATTATCTTGAAAGCTGATTATCACAAAGTCTTACATATTTCCTATAGTGATTGGTCAATACTTGTAGATGACCCCTATTTTTGGGGGTCACTAGTTCAAAGGTCAAGTTCACAGGGGCCTTATATGTCAGAATGGTTTCTGCTCATTATCTTGAAAATTATCACACACTGACACAGTCTTCATTTTTTTTCTTTTTTCCATAACTGAACACTTCCATGTACCCATTTATGGCAAGTTTCTACAACAAAATAACCAGTAATGTGGGTCAAGGGCTAGAAAGGGGGCATATGTTTTGTTTGACATTTTTTGTTTACTTCTTTGTTTTTGATATGAGCTTGAATTCTGTGCATTCTGGATCAAGGCCGTGAGATTGTCCTGTACAATCAGATGGTATTAATATAACCTGGATGAAAGAATTCTGTTGTATAATAAGAGATCAAAAGAAGGTATATCCTGCTGGCCAAAAAGCAAACTGATTTCTTTCAACTATAGTATGTTTTTGAAGAGATATTTTGAAATATTAGTAAGATGGTAATTATTCTGTTATGTTCTGGAGATATGCTGTTTTAAAAGCAGCTGGAGTTTCTGTCCAGCAGTCATTAACTTCAAATGATGAGATTATAACTTTTTTGTTCATGTATTAATTTTGAAATAATTCAGCAGATACACTATACATACATTTATATACATGATTATGTATATTGTAGCACATTGAGACAATGCGTTATGTGCAAGGTTCCAGGTTTATAGGTCCATGGGCATGGTTTCACTTAGACTTAAAAGCCATTTCTCGTAGAAGTGCAATGATGGTTGTATCAGGTCACCAAATCTGTTAACTGTTTATATATTCTTGAAATAACTTAAGATTTACAAATGAGTTGGTCATGATGAAGTGCCTTGCACAGGCTCCAGGTCAAGGTCATGCTTGTACATCCAATGTCATGATGCAAATTTTCCATATACATGTTAGTGCTTTGCTGGTTGTGTCCGGTTAATTGATCTGTCATTTCTGGTTGATTTAGGCAGGATTTTTTATAAAACCTGACATAGATGTGTTGGACATGATGAGTTATATGATAATCTGTTGTGTGTAATAATCAGGTTTCAGACTCAAAGGTCATGGTCACACTTTCACTTCCAAATGAATTCTTTAATGCCTGAAGAAAGTTCAGAAACACTTGGATATATTATGATATAACTCTATTTAAGTTCTGTTTGATTCTCACTGCAGTCAGCTTGTTATTGACAGAGTTTTACCCCTTTTTAACCATAATATTCTGTGAAATTATCAATGTTTTCTGCAGGATAACTTTTGAAAGATTTCAATGGACCTTTTTGGTGTTTACAGTTTTATGTAAATTGGCTAACTTGTTATCCAATCGCTACACTTACATAATACATAGTCACTGGTTGACCTGATTTGCACAAAAGAGCATGTGCTTATGTTTGTGATACTGTTTGTGAGCAGTTGACCTAGCAATGAATGGAAAAGATGTGGCTAAATGTTCCACTACGAAAAACCGGAAAGGTCCATGGTTGTTGTTTCTGGAGGATAACTTTGAAGGTTTTCAATAATTGTGTTTAAACTTGGCATGTGTGTAAATTGTACTATCAAAACACAGGTTAAGTTCTATTTTCCCTGCAATCAACTTACTATTTAGAGAAATACCCCTTTTTAACCAAATTTTCTGTAAAATGATTTTTCAGCAAGATAAGTTTTGAAGGTTTTTGTTGATTTTGTTTATATTTGATATGGAATTACATATACATGTATCAAAACACAGGTCAAATTAGATCTTCACTGCAATCAACATAATTATTGACAGAGTTATAACTCTTTTTTTATCCAAATTTTATGTAAAATCATTGGTTTGAGCAGGATAAGTTTTGAAGGATTTCAATGATTGTGTTTATATTTCGCTTGTAGCTATATCAAAACACAAGGTTAAATTAGATTTTCCTCAGTAGGACTCTTGTTATTTTTGTTGAACCATGTAGATGTCCCAAATCAGGTCGAGGAACATAAGGAGGAAGTAGATGTCCAAAATCAGGTTCAAAGCACTGAACAATCACGATCTTGACCCGTAATGAGTTATTACACACATTGTATACAAAACAAAATTTTGGTCAATTTATATATTTGAGAATAAGCAACGAATGAAGGGAACCTTTAGTCAAAATATATTGGGTGATGTTATATCAGTTACATATGGATTTGTGTTACAGTTGCTTGATTTCTATATGACTTAAAATAAAACCTGGAGGGT